AGAACCAGCAATGAGAAAGAATGCAAGAAAAAAAAAATGAAAAGAAGCAGCAAGGTGAGAGAACACATGGGGAAAAGAAAAGAAAAGCAAAGAAAAGAAGCAGGGAGGAGAGAAAGAAGAGAAAGGGGAGGAGAGAGAAAAAAAGGTGAAAAAAAGGTGAAAAAGAAAAAAGAGAAGGAGAGAGGCAGAAAACGGAGGAGATGGAAGAGATGGAAACCGATGAGAAAGAAAAGGAAGTTTTGTTTGAGTGGGTTAAGATAGGTACCCAATCTACCATTGAATTGTATAAGTACTTACTTTTTATCCATTGTTACTTGCTCACTTAAATTTGGGTGCCCTAATGATTTAGTTTTAGTGGGAGGTTTGGGCTGTTTAATGGATTTGGGCTTAAATTGCCACCCTTAGCCACATCGTATAGAATGCTTTGAGGCGCAAGAGTGAGGTTGGTCCCTCCTTGAAACACTATCTGAATCTAGGGCACATCTGATTGCATCTTCTTAACACTCCCTTTATAACATGTGTCGAGTAATTTCACAGCCCGGGCAGTTTTGTACTTCGAGGACATGATCTCTGTGACTCCTTTCAGAGTACTGCATATACTAACATAGGCAGGCGCCTGATCAACATCCCATAATCTATAACTGTGGGAACCTTGTACTCGGACTCTGTCACTGCCAATGTCGTCTCTGCCACTACAATCGCGATCAAACTCAAAAAGTATGTTGTTGTCTTCATCATTAGTAAGCATTTGAGTGAACTTGTAGGATAATCCCATCAATGAATCCTTTCCTATGGACAATGAGCCTTCCTTGCCTCCCACGCAGTTGGGAGGCAGTAGGAGAAGGTATATCCATATTTGTCTGACAGTTGACAGTAGGGACGGAGCTGGTAGTCCCCCAAAATGTTTATATTGTAAATAAACTTAATTTACGATCCCAAAATTCATAATAAATTCTAATTCCCCCCCTCCCAAAAAAAAAAAAAAAAAAAAAAAATAGAGAATGAAAATAAATTCAACTTATTTCCCCTTTAAATTCATACAATATCAACTTGAAATCTTTTAGCCTTACTTTTGAAAAGTTAAATCATGTAAGTTCATTATTATTGCAATCCCTACACAAAAAAATGTTCATTTGCATATAGACATGTATAATTTTCATTATTTTAATTTAGGAGATAAAAAGAAGAAAATTATACCAATGTCCCTCATGTCTAATAAAATAAATAAAAGTTTCTTCCTGGATATTAAGTAAAAGTGAAAGTGAGTGAAAGTGAAGGAAAATTAAATTTCCAAGTCAATATGGTTAGCGCTTGAAATTTTTTCAAGAAAATTATGTAAAATTATTATTTTATAGTTAAAATAGCATGTAATTTACCATAAAAGAGCAATATTGTAAGTTCACAAAACTTTCTCAAAAAATCAAATTTTCTTGTGTTTTTGGAAGAAAAATTTATGGGGAAATTAGGTGGTTATGGAAAGTGATTTTCTTAAAAAAAATTTCTTTTCCTACTAACCAAACTCTTAAAATGTTTAAAAATTTTGTATTTCCTTTCTTTTCTTACTATTTTCATCTAACCAAACAAAGCCTAAAGATGGTGTTTATAAGAAAATTATTTAGAATTATATATAAATCATATACAAGTCTTGGGACTTGGGAGCATGAGAAGAAAGAAAAACTAAACTATTATGAGAGCACGAGCACGATGGCAAGAATGCTAACAATAATAATGATATTATATATGTTAATATTTTTAGTTATACATAAAAATCTATAACTACTCATTATATAAAATTATAAATTATTAAAGTACTTATCTATTTTAATCATAATAATTGTGTTTTATTAAACCTTGTGAGATTTGTTTAGTTAGAATTATTTATTATTATTTTAAAATCTTTCATCAAACAAATAATAATATATATTTGCGAAAATAGAATCAAAGTATTAAAAAAAAAAAATCAGAAATTCAAAATTTGAAAATTTGAAACTTACTAAAGAAAATTTGATTTTCTTTCTTATACTCCGTATTAGTTTTCCATCTAATTATTTAGGTTGCACTTTTTTTTTTTTTTTTAGATTATATATTTTCAAGATATATGTATACATACACACCTACTAAGATCAATATTTATATAAAAAATTATATTATATTTTTTTTATATAATACTAAATCGGCCCCCCAAATTCACCAAATTTCTGGCTTCACTTCTGGCTGAGAGAGCATGGAGAGGTTGTATAAATTCTTTTCACACACACACACACATATATGTATGTATGTATATCTCTCACACACACATAAATGAAGAAAAGAAAAAAGTCGTGGTAACAATTTTGGGAGGACTTGGTCTTCATATAACTTTATGAACATTTGGGGCGATTAGGGTCTTCACATAACCCCATGAACAAGTTTGGGATGACTTGGGTCTTCACATTTTCCAAAATCAGAGATAGACACCTTTAAAGTACCATTCCACAACGAGAAAGATCAGTCCATGATTTGGACACCAAAGGGTCTCTTTTGGAATCAAAGTCATCCACTACTCAGTATAGACATGTCGAGGAGTCTTTTTTTTTTTTTTTTGGTTTAAACATGTCGAGGAGTCTTCTCTAAGAAGAAAGTTCAAAGAAAATCATATGCAAACAGAATTTTTAACCATAATTTTAAATTTCTGTCCAAAAGTTTAAACGTTTTAAAAATTATATTCACATATACCTTCATCTCAAAATGATAAAGAAACTAATTTATTGTATCATTAAGATCTTCTAATGTCGTACTATTATAACACTATTTCTACAAAAAGTGGAATCTAAGTAATTTTGTGTATTCTTCATTAAAACCTTCCATCATTGATATACGTATAAAAAAAAAAAACACTTCTATCATTGATATATATATATATATATATATATATATATATATATAACCGTCTATCATCATTTGGTGATTATTATTTAATTTATTCATAGTCATAATGTATGAAGTCCACAATGGCTGCTTTGTGCTTGCTCATCTTTTCTCTTTTAAAAGTGATAGTGACCCCACGAGTTCCAATAATTTACTTAAAAGGGTTATTTATCTCATATAATTTGGTGAGAGAAATCACTTGTTGGAAGTTTTTGGATTATTGATGAATTACAGTGGATTCATGTACTTTATCTCATGGTCTAAAATTATATATATATGTATAACCTTCTATCATCATTTGGTGATTATTATTTAATTTATTCATAGTCATAATGTATGAAGTCCACAATGGCTGCTTTGTGCTTGCTCATCTTTTCTCTTTTAAAAGTGATAATGACCCCACGAGTTCCAATAATTTACCTCACGAGTTATTTATCTCATATAATTTGGTGAGAGAAATCATTTGTTGGAAGTTTTTGGATTATTGATGAATTACAGTGGATTCATGTACTTTATCTCATGGTCTAAAATAATTTCGACCAGTGATTTCACAATCACTTTTTTGGTAGCTTACTTTAATAATGAGAAATTATTATTTTGTTTTTGGGAGAATAAATATTGAGTAAGTGGAGCACACTTATGTTAATGGTTTGCTCACCCAATTAAAATATGCCATTCAATTAAATTGGTGCCACTTAAATTTTAAAAAATTTCTCAACTTGCACGAATGGTGTCTTTTGATTGGCTCCGTTTGTTTCGACCTAAAATACTTTTTTTGAAAAATATTTTTTTTCCAGGTAAAAAATAATTTTTATTTGTACTTCTTTGGTATTTGGTAAAGGTCTAGGTCAAGTCCATTAAGTGGGACATGTAAAATAACTTGTCCAAAATTGATGACTAAGTTATTTTCGTTAGGATTTAATATATTTTTCTTTCTAAATTTATTTATTTATTTTTTTCTAATTGGGAATCACACACACTGCATCCACTGAGAATATTTTACGACAACCAAATACCAAAAAATAAAATATATTTTACATCCAAACAAATGGAGCCTAAGTGTGCATACCAATGCAGTACCAATGACAGTGGTATGCTCAACTAACTTAATATCTACTTCGCCCTACGAGAGAGTGAGAGATTATTAATTTTCTTTTATGCTTCATATGGTTAGAGGGATGAAAAAATGGATGGAAAGGAGAAGAGAATGGATGAATGAGGCATCCCTAAGGAAGAAAATATGTCTTTCTCATTTTTTGTTTGGTTAGATGGAATGAATAGTAGAAATGATGGATGTGGTGACATTTTTTCTTTTTTGGTGTGGTTGGAAGGAAGGGAAATAGAATTTTATATTGTTTTTACATATATACCCTAATTATATAATATTTTAAAAATTATATATCCATTATAATTTATGCAACAACAAGGTTAAAAATAAAAATTAAAAACTTATTAGTTATTATCCTACTTTTGTTCTCATCTTTCTCTCAATTTTGGACAGATAAAAAATTACAAAGGAAGGAGGGATGTATGGATGAAGCATCCCTCCTTACGTACTCTCTCTTTTTCCTTTCCTTCAACTAAACACAAAACACTTCTTATATAAACCTAAGGATTTATGTAAAAATGATAAGTACCAAGTATTAATATATGAAGACTTTTTGGTAACTGCACTTAACATATGGTACTAATTGCATAAAACCTGTCTAATCTATAAAGATTTTGCATATTATCTCCTGCAAGATGCTCTTTTTCAACCAAGGATGAACAGGGTTCGATTCGGTTCGGTTTTAAATGATTCCTTAAAATTTGGAATTGAAACCATTGGGTCGGTTTAGTTCCAAACCATGGTTACTCAAATAATTTTCTTTAACATTTCAAAAAAAAAAAAAAAAAAAAAGTCAGTAACTCACTACAAACAATATGTATTTGGATCAAATAGTAGATGTAATGTTTATATATATATATATATATATATATATATATATATATATATAATTATTAAACATTACTTTTCCACTATGGGACCCACCTATGATATAAGGGTCATTACAGACCCATTTAGTTTTCAATCAGCTCTTTCTCGGCTAGCTTTTTTTCTCTCTCTCTCGCTGCCTCTGTCTTTTCCTTTTCTTTTTTCCTTTTGCAACTTCAATCCTTGATTTCTTACTCATCTTTTGGAAATTTTGGATGTCGTTTGCGGCAAATTGAAGCCCACGATGAGGTCTTCAAATCCATACAACAATTTTAGCTTTTGGCCATTATAGGGAGTCCGAAAATTGAGACCCATTTTGAGGGTTTGAGGTGAAAATTGGGGGTTTTGTATAAAAGTGAGGTAGGGGTTCCTAATCCATGGGATTCTTGCTCCCTTGTGAATTACTCTTTGTTAATTATAGTTAAATATGCTTAATTTGAGATGAATACCTCTAAAATGATTTGGTTTTGTATATGAAATTCATGATTATGTGTATATGTGGATTTGTGTGAAAAATATGCTTAAAATGTTGATTTTATATTGTTGGTGTATTTGATAATTTGTTAAAACTTACTATGTGGAAAGCATATATACGTGTTAATTTTTTATGCCTATGGTGTTAGAAACTTATTAGAAATTGTTAAATGGAAACATGTTAAATTGTATAGTATAAAAGTCTTTCATTTGTCATGGCATTTGAGAAAGTATGTAATGTTCACGCATGTCATTGGGCATGAAAATGGGGAAAATTATTTTGAAATGAAAAAGGGAATTTTGGGAAAGAAGTTTTGATTAAAATATTTTATGAAAACCTGGTTGCCGCGGGGGTATCAAAGGGCCGGTGTGTTAAAATAGTCTAGAGGGAATTAGGGAGATTGCCCTAGCGTGGTTGAGCAAGCTGGGCCCAAAATAACGCCGCGGGGGTACCAAGAGTCAGGGATACTAGCTAATCCTTCTTTCGTGTCGTTGCGGGGTCACCAAAGGGGGGGTTATATTAACAGTTTGAAAGTGATGGATTTGAATGTTGAAAATGGGGAGCGACATCGGCATGCATTGTATTTCATAGCATCATATTGTGTATGCTGAGATTGGATTTAATGTTGCACTTCCCCGACATAGTATGACCCCGATTCCTATTGTCTTATTCCTTATTTGGATTCATGGGGACATAAGAGGTGTGTCTTAGGCACTACCTACTGAGTAATTTTGCTCACCCTTTTTATTTAACATTTTTTTTCAGGAAACGTGAAAGAAGTGGCGGACGATAATCCCCCGCAAGCTTGAAGAATACTAGGAGTTGTATTTTGTTATCTTTTGTATCTTAGCCCATTTTTTTTGGTCTAGTCGCAAACTATATAAAAGGGTATTCATTTTTGCAAATCATGGCCCTGTAACATAACTAAGATCCTTGATTATTTTTGTTGTAAACTGAGACTATGTAAATGCTTAAGTTAAATGGGATGACGATGATGGGCTAACTTAGGAAGGTTGTTGATGTTGTGGTATTGGGAAATGTATTATATTGCTTTTGTATTATGTGTTGGGGCAGGTTGGATAGGTCTTGAAAGGCCATTGCATTTTTTTTTTTTTTTTTTTTTTTTCATTTGAACAGGTTGTTGTAGGACCACTGTTAGCGGAGGTCATGCTAATTTTATTTTTTTATTTTTTAAATAGTTTCAGTTTTGGGGTCGTTATAGGAGATTATACATCAAATGGACAATAATAAACTTCTCAACAAGGAAGCAAAATATATTTGTAATCTAAAAGCAAATGAGTTATTATTCTTTTTTTGTGAAATATATATGAAATAGAAGTAAAAAACCTATTTGATAAACAATAATATAATTACAAAGACAAAACTACACACCAGTCTTCAATAATATATTTTATAGACTACACAGATAAGGCTGCTCTCAAATAGGTTTTTTACTTCTATTTCATATATGTTTCACAAAAAAACGAATAATAACTAATATATCTATATATATATATTTATAGTTTATGGTTGGGTTTGGTTCCAATGGACTTGGAATTGGAACGGTAAACTAACAACGATCCCTCGTTTTGGAACCAAAACCAAACTTTGAAAGAACCGAACCAAAGTGACAGTTCGGTATGGTTTCTACTGGTTCTATTGTTCTAAGGATTTGTTGTGCGTCCCAACTTCCAACAAGTTATAAAGTCAAAGAATTGCTTATTTATTTATTTTTTCTTTTTTAAATCAAGATATATCCGTTTCCTGAATTAATTGAAATTCTACATATTACCATATATTCTAGGGATAGCATGCAATTATTTTGTAGTTCAAAGGAATTTATGCAATTTTAAAAGTAATTTAGTACTCCCTCGTCCCAACATTTTTATTCATCTTTTTATTTTGAATGTCCCAAAATACATGTCTTGTTTACCATTCCAAAAGTGAATGTACTATTGTTTATAATTTTTCCAAACTATCTTTTTTGTTTAAACAAGTGCACTTATTACGGGATACTATTTTATCTTTTAACCAACGGCGAATTCAGGAATTGTTAATGGGGGGCTAATATTAAATAAGGGGAAATTGGAGATTGAAAGATTAAAGAGTTGGAAAATTTTAGAGGAAATAGGGTTAGACTTTAGAGGAAGGGAATGAGTGAGCTCTCTGATTTGTGCAAGATTAGGAATTTAGGAGTTTTCTGTACTTTGGCTTAGTGATTGTTTAGGACTTGTTTGTCTTGGGCCTATTTGGTTGGACTTTTGTTTTAAAATTGTGGCTTAGATATTGGATTTGTTTGGATGAGTTAAAATTGGGGACTTAATACTATTACTAATTCTTTTTTTTTTAAAACATTAGACTAAATATACCTATACTAAAAAAAAAAAAAAATTTTTTTTTGGGGGGGGGGGGGGTTGGGTGGATCCGCCATTGCTTTTAACAATGATATATTTGAAAGTTTATTCTTATCTATCCAAAAAAAAAAAAAAAAAAAAAAAGTTTTTATTATTGTGGTGAATCCATTGTAACATCTTCTTTCTGGTACAAAAATACAAAAGGTTGTTGCAGAGCATTCCTCACGCTTCCTTTTTCATGAGATGCCCCAATATTTGATAACTAGGTGCAGCCCCCAGCAGCAAACCCAATTCTTGAATTGGAGACATCATAAGCGATCCTATATGTCTGCTGCTGAAAGTTCCCAATAATGGCGACTTCCTCGGTGACCGACATTCCTGCAAAGGCCAAGCAAGTAAGGCCCTTAGTCAAATCGTACATAATGCTCTGAGGCGGAAGAGTGAGCTCGGCCCCTCCTTGAAACACCATCCGAACCTCGGGCACATCTGACTGCATCTTCTTCACACTCCCTTTATAACATGTGTCCAGCAATTCATCAAATGGGGAAGTTTTGTTCTTTGATGACATGATCTTTGTGAACTCATTTCGGAGTTCTGTATATACTGACATAGGCAGGCGCGTGATCACCGTCCCAGAATCTATAACCGTTGGAACCTTGTACTCGGACTCTGTCACCGCCAGTGTCTTGCCTGCCACTACAATCGCGGACAAACTCAACAAGTACAAGCCAGTGTCTTGGTCATCAGGAAGCATTGCAGTGAACTTGTAGGATGATCCCGTCAATGAATCCTTTCCTATCGACAATGAGCCTCCACTGCCTCCGTGAGCTGTTGGGAGGCAGTAGGAGAAGGCATTTCCATATTTGGTGGACAGCTGAGAGAGCATTGAGAGATTGTTACGAGCCAGACCAACAAGACCAGCAGAACGACCAAACAACCCTTTATTGTGCTTCCCACACCCGTACACAAAACCGGGCAGTGTTTTTGACCGGGATAGGGTCAGTGAATCCCGACTCAAGTAGCCAATGGAGTAAGATTCGTCCCTATAGCGAACATTGTACTGGCACTCCTTAGAAGTGGTGCAACGATCATATAGTGTGGCTAGCTTGAGTGAATTGCATTCGGATGTTGTGCATGATAACGATTTGTAGGTGGTGGATGCAGAGGGATCGAAAACAGAACCGGCCTGTTCGTAGCAGCTGGTGCAAGGCTTGCATTGGAGCCAGGACAAGGAGCTGCCTGTGTCAACAATTACGCGATAGTAATTGGATGGAGTGCCAAGGCCAATCTTGATATAGTAATTGCCCATTTTAACAGAACGACCGGGATTCACTGGTGTGCTGACGAAATTTGGTCCAAAAAGATGTTCTGATTTGTGTGAGGTGGAGTTTGTGACACTGCTTGTTTTGGTCTTGGTGAACATGGAGTTTAGATGATCGACTCGTGCTTGGTCCTGAAAGAGTAAATCGGAGAATGAGGGCAGAGATTGGGAGGTTAGAGGTGAGCCATGTCCTCGCACATGATACAGGGTCAAGTGCAAAGCTGAATGGTTGAGTCCTTGCTCTGCTTCTGTTTAAAAAAGAGAAATAGAAGAAAGTTAATTAATGTCCCTTCTGACCTATGAATATTGTACACGACATATAATATTTATACGGTAAATTCCCAATCAATAAAATCCATGGAATCAAAGCAATTAATACATCTTATACGTGAGCAAAGAAATATTATATACATGAAATGATGCAAACAATACATTGAATGAAATGAGATAACCACATCACATGCCTTGATGCCCTGCAAATGAAGATGTTGCAAGCAGAAGAAAAGAAGCCAGAAACCAAACCAACTCCATTTCTCCTACACCCTTTGTATTGCTTGAATTAAATTTTATGTATGCATTCTCTTCATATATATAATATACATCTCTCTCTCACACACACATGTAACTGTAGAAACGCAGAAGTTTTAGTAATAATTTTGGGACGACTTGGGGTCTTCACTTAGCTTTACGAACAATTTTAAGTGGGATGGACGAGGCTGTTCACATATAACTTTATGAACACGTTAATTGGGACGACTTGGGAGTTGAGTCTCGCATGACTATGCATTTTTGAGACGACTTGGGTCTCAAGACTCTCAACCAGTCTACCATTTCTAAATTGAGGGGTCCATTCCACGATAAGGATAAGAAATAGTCGATGATTTGGACACTCGAAGGGTCTCTTTTTGGAATAAAAAATCATCAACTACTTGTGTAACTTGACGAGAGAAACATTGCCCTTCTATCATTCTTCATGTTGTTCCTCCTCCTTTATTTATTTATTTATTATTATTAAAAATTTGTAACAAACTTGTAGATTTATCTCAGTCCTAATGTTACAAACGCTTCACAGACTGATAATCATCTTTACTTTATATATATATATATATATATATATATATATATAAAAGAAACTCATACACACCCACTTTTTTCATTTGATGACTCATGTGAATGAACTTACTTCTGAATCTAATGAGTTAAAATCAAATAGAAGTAAGGGGAAAAGTTTTATAAGGCCGCTGTAACCTTCACCTTCCATTTGAAAGGTAGAGATACCACTATATCACGAAGTCTTTAGTTTGCCTTTCTGTTATAAAGGTTGAAAACGAAAATTCTATTTTTGTTCTTTTGAACCATATCTCTTGCAATCATCATCGTCAAAAAGCATACCCATTTACTTTATTTTACTTTTTCTCTTGTAAATAATGAATTTCCCCCCTAACTTATGTTATTGAAATTAATAAGTATTTTTGCTGCTTTTCACAAGCCCTGTTCATCCGATGTGCTATTATTCAATAAACACCTTAATTAATGTACTTTATTCCGTCATAATATATATGAAGTCCACAATGGCTTCTCATCTTTTCTCTTTTCAAAGTGAGTCCGACCCCATTAGGTCCAATAATTTACTCAGAAGGGAAATGATTCCATCTCATCAATTTCGGAGAAAAATCACTGGTTCGAATTATAGGATTAATTGCATATATACAATCTCCCTAATCAACAAAGAAATTATATATTACCTCTCCTACTAAGTTTTTAGCAATAAGTACTCAAAATATATACCAACAATTTTGCAAGATACCCCCTTCCAACAAGTTACAATTAGTCGAATTTTTTATTTTTATTTTTATTTATTTATTCTTTGTTAAAAAAAAAAAAAAAAATCAGAATTATACTTTTGGGACATTTGCATCAATTCTCTGACACATATTAGAAGTCTACTATCTCATTTTTTAATGTTCCAAATTAGTTGTCCATTTTGAAAAGTCAAAGCAAATAAGACTTATCTTTCCATCATCGTCCTTTATATTTTCAAAAAAATTTCAAACTTGGTAACTATCTCTATCTTAACTAAAAAGGAAAAAGTGCAAACAACCCCTTGAACTATCACAAATTGGCATTTTACCCCATTGGACTACAAAAATGAACAACTCAGTACCACAACTATCCAAATCGTGCAAATTAACTCTTGAAACGCAATTCCGGTCACTTTCCGGCCCACAAGGTGGGCATGTGACTATTCTTTTCTTTTAATTCTGAAATTGCCCTGGAATATTACTATTGTAGCCCTTTGCCTATATGTGTGTGTGTGTGTGTGCCCGCTTCAGCGCCGTCATCTAAGCATTGGAAATTGGGGGTTCCACGGCGGAGGTGGTGGTTTGGGTGAAGAATTGGGATGGGATTGAATACAAGCTTGTCAGAGGAAGCCAGACGGCGATGCCAGAAGAGTTGCCGCCACGTGAAGTGGTGTAGTCTGCCGGTGATTATGATAGTCGACTTCGGCGATCGAGTGCCTGTGATTGAAACTCTTTTGAATATTTGATAAACCCCAGAATTAGAATTAAATTCCAAGAGTCTGAGAGGAAGAAGAGACACAAGGCGAAGACGACCATGGATCACAAACCAGAGAATTGATCTTCTTCTTCGTAGGTGATCGAGCACAAGGCTTATGCTAGGGTCGAACTTTTTGGAAAACCTAGCGACGGTAATTTCGGTCGCATTATTTCCTTCACACTAGATAACTTCTCAGCCTCCATACTATTACAACCCTCTCACGAACTCGTTATCATCTCTCACCCCACTCACCATCTCGTCCACTTCAACTCTCTTAATCACCTGGTCTAAATTATCTCCCTATATCTATATATATGTCGATATATATAAATTTATCTCGCTGTACCAACCAGAAGAACTAGGAATCCTTACCTGAAATTGCACATCGCCGATTCAGTCCTTGTCGCCATGTGATGTTTCTGATTTTCACCATTTTTCTTTTTTCGGAAATTTTGTCCTCGAATGGGCATTTTCGTCTTTTCACGTTGTGCGTACCGGACACCGTGGGGTGTGCCGGGTGTGTTGAATAATCGTTGGGAGCATTTTATTGAGCTCGGCACTCTTTGAAATGCAATGTTGGTCGTTTTTGCATTTTTCAGTTTTTCGGACCGGACGGTTCCGTGTGAGACCGGCTACCGGAATTGTTGCATACGGGTATTTTGATTGGGTCCATTTGTATTATGTTCATTTTTATTTATTGTGTTTTAAGTGATTGTAAATTTAAATGTGCATTTATATGTGTATGTGGTGAGAATTAAAGACAAAAAAGATAAAGGGAAAATAAAATAAAATAGGTGGGACCCACCATTATCTCACAAAAGAGTTAGAGACCACATTTTGGTCTCATTTCCTCCATTCTCTCTCTCACTCCCGTAGCTCTCTCTTCCTCCATCTCCTTTTTCATTTTTTCTTTTTCTTTTTGTGTCAAACTTTAATTCTAGATTTCTCCCACAATGGGTTTTGCACAATTTTGAGGTAGGGGTTTCTAATCCACGAGTTTTTTGCTCTCTAGTGAATCAATCTTTGTTAATTGATGCTTAACATACTTAATTGTGTTGATTACCTCTAAAAAGATTTGGTTTTGTATATGAAATTCATGTTTATGTGTATATGTGGATTTGTGAGACCACCATGCTTAGATGTTGATTTCATATACTTGTGTGTTTGCTAACTTGTTAGAATTTGTTATGTGGGAACTATGTTTATGTGTAAATTTCTTATGCCTATGGTGTTAGTAATTTATTAGTAATTATTGAATAGGAGCATGTTAAATTGTGTAGTGTATGAATCTTTCATTTATTATGTCATTGAGAAAGTATGTGATGATCATGCATGTTATTGGGTATAAAAATGGGAAAGGAAATTGTTTTGATATGAAAAGGGGAATTTTGGGAAACAAGTTTTTGACCTCCTGCATGCTCTCGGGATCTTAGCTTTCGGTCGACCGAAACATTATTTCGGTCGACCGAAATGAAGTTGTGTTGGTACTCTTCGTCTCTCTCTTTCCGGCAATTGTTGCTTTAAGTATTGCAATGTTGTTTGAGATCATCTAAAGGTATATTTCAAGGATAACGATGACGTTTTGACTCTAGAAATGTCGAATTGGACGTAGGCGACCTCGGGTTCGAGTAAGGACCCGGCTAACGGTTCGGGCCTCCGGGTTCGGGTCGTTACACGCCGATTCAGTCTCGTTGTCACCATCATTGTTCTTTGCCGGATTCTCAGTAATCAACAAGCTCTGTTTCACAGCCTCCGATACTGGAGACCATCCTCTAAAGCCGACCAGATTTACCGACTAGAGATGGTTACAACACTTAGGCAACGTTTGGGGGCATGGAGGGTATTTCACACTGATTATTTATTTTAGTATTTTTTTTTCTTAATTAGGTAGTTTTGTAAATATACTATGAAGCCGGCCGGAAAGTGGTTGGAATTGCGTTTCAGGGTTAATTTACATGTTTGGATAGTTATGGTATTTTTTTCTATTTTTTGGGATTTTTATTTTTTTATTTTTATTTTTCGGAGTGATTTCCATCTTGTCTCGTTTTATGTGTCGAACACCGTGGGGTGTACCGGGTGTGTTTGAGAGTTGGTTGGGGCATTTCCTTGAGTTCAGGACTCTTGGAAATGCATTGGTTGCTATTTTGACATTTTTTCGTTTTTTCGGGCCAGGAGGTCCTAGGTGGGACCCATTACTAGAGTCGTTGAGCACGGGGATTTTAATGCGGGTTCATTGCATTTCATCCATTATTAATTGATGCATTTTTATGTGGTATCATGTTTAATTTAGTGGCTGTAATATGATTAATTCTTATATATATATATATATATATATATATATATATATAGGTTATAATACCAAAAGATATTTTTATAAAGTGAGGGGGGCCCACCATTATTACATCAATTATCAAATGACTTTAAGTCATTACAGAATCACAATCTCATCTCTCAGCTTGACACTTTCCTTTCTCTCCCACTAGTTTTCTTTTTCTTTTTATTTTCTCCACTATTATAAGCTTTGATTTACATTAAATCATTGAGATTTTGGCCACTTAAGGCGAAGTTGACGAGTGCGTTGAGGTCTATGATTTGATCGAAGCCAATCTTTGTTTGGCCACTAATTGGGAATTCAAAAATTGGGCATTTTTAGGGCTTTTTCACCAATTTGAGGTAGGGTTGTTCTAATTTGCAAACTCTTAGATTTTTTGTGAATTAATTTCCTATAATTGAAGTATAGCATGCTAGATTGTAAATTTTTCTTGGGAAATTGTTATGATACTAGATATATGATGTGTATCTCTATGTGTAAATAATATATGTGTGTATAATTTATTGATTGGATATGGAAAGCATGCCTTTATAATTATGTCCTTGTTTAATATGTGTAATTGTTAAAATTTTGTTGACTTAAAGTATGCTGTAAATTCATGAGAAAATTCTTCTTTAGTATGAAATGTTGTTACTATTTGATGATGTGAAAATTATGGTAAATTGTGAAGCATGAAGCATTGATGCATCCATTCAGAAAGAAAAAGGGAAAAGTGTTTGTAATGTTACCGATTTTCCCTATTTTCTAATTTCGGGAATTTAATTGATTTTTCTAGATTATTTTAATCATTATCTCGTTTTACGTGCCACACTGGCCCCGAGGTACGTTTTGGTCATTTTTTTGAGCCGAGGGTTTTAGAAGTGTA